CAATTTTATGTATATTTTTAAGAGAAATTTCTGCTATAGAGTACATGTACTGACCAGAGAGAAACTGACAGAATGGCCTTGCTGCAATCCCTTCTCTTCCATTCTCCTCTCGGGATTTTTGGCACATACGTGCATATGCCCAGGACTCAAACCACGGTTGGCCAAGTGTGCGAGTTCAATGCCTTAACTACTATGCCATCTGCTGGCAACTGACAGAATGGCCTTGCTGCAATCCCTTCTCTTCCATTCTCCTCTCGGGATTTTTGGCACATACGTGCATATGCCCAGGACTCAAACCACGGTTGGCCAAGTGTGCGAGTTCAATGCCTTAACTACTATGCCATCTGCTGGCCCCCTTTCTCTCATTTTAAATAGAAAAAATAAAAAACTTAAAAGTTTATTCTCTTTAAAGGCACATATAAAAGTTGTTGGAAAAATTAGTCAAAGAGAATTTCCTGTCATGTTGTTAAGTTTCATATAGGTCTTTGTCAATATGCTTTTCTTTTCTTTTCTTTTCTTTTTTTTTTTTGAGAGATCTTGGGCACACACGCACACACGCACACACGCCTGATGTGAGTTTCAAGCTGCTGGGTATGGTACTCGAACAGTGGTTAGCAATGTGGAAGTCCAGAACCTTAACCACTATGCCACCTGCTTCACCAACTTATGTTTATACCAGAAAAATCACATGTAGTTACTATGCTGCTATTAGGACACTCGTTTACTTTGACAAAATGAAAGCTCTTTCAGAAACTAATTCCTGTTGATTGTTGAGCACTTTAAGTCAAAAAGTTATTAATGAAGCACCAATTTTATGCCCAGGAAAAGGCTAGGTACTAGAGATATTAGTCTGTCTCTTTCATAAAGGGAACGTAAATAATGTAATAACTTGCTATTTTCGTTGTCCATCCTTTTGAAAAGTGTATGTAAAAGCTCCCCTGTAACAGAAACGTGATTTTATCATTCCCTTCTCCTTGTATGCATATTTCCATCTTTCTTCCTCTACATAAGCTTATTCTGAAGTAATATATTTCAGCATTTGAAAATAGTTTAAGTTTTCACTCTATCATATTTCTCTGCAACACAAATTTTAAAATATCCAAGAATATAATTGTAAAAATTTTCCGGAGTAGAATGAAACAGGATTCATGCTATTTCTGGGTGGGTTTTGTTGTTGGTTTTTTAATTGCTAAAAGGCACATGCACTAGCCAGAGAGAGACAAAGATGAAGGAAAGCACCCTCAGTGGGGTACGGTCATGTCACAATTGTTTCTATTCTACTTTGTTCATACTGTCAGGGTTTGGGGCATACGTGCCCATCATGTTTTTCAAGCTGCCATGGCCAGAATTTAGACGCTGTGGGATCTGGTGCCCTTAACCAATAGGCTACAGGGATGGCCCTAACTCTGATTTTACATTTTGTGTTATTATATTCCAAAGATTTGAGAGTGGAAAATTTCTTCAGGAATCATCTTTTTCTTTTCTTAAGAGAGATTTTTGATATAGGGTATGTGTGCTCACTGGAGAGACAGAGTCAGAGACAGAGCAAGAAATCACCCCCCACGGGGTGGCCATGCCACAACCCCTTCTCCTCCATTCTTTTCTTGAGATTTTGGACCCACACACATATGCCTGGCATGAGTTTCAAGTCACAGGGTCCAGGACTCAAACCATGGTTTACCATGTAGGAGTTTGGCATCTTAATCACTATATCACCTGATGGCCCCATAATAATCAGTTTTATAAACTCCCAAAGGATAACCCCAAAATTATGTAAGTATATGCCATGAAAAATAACTTTAATAATCAGCTAACTCAATTTGCTTCTTCTGTAATATTTTCAAAAGGAAGTGGAAATCGCCCATTTTGCAAAGAAATTAACTGTTCAGTCATATAGAATCATTCAGTTTCTAATCATCACTATCAAGATTTAGGTCAGACTGAGGCCAGCAGATGGTGTGGTGGTTAAGGCACTGGACTCCCACATGGCCAACAATGGTTCGAGTCTGGACCTAGTGGTTTGCTTTCTCTCTCACTCTCTCTGGTAAGCACGTGTGCTCTATGGCCAATTTAAAATAATAATAATAAATAATTATTCAAAAATAAAAATAAGATTTAGGTCAGATTAAAGGTACTGCTTTATTTGTAAAGTGAGAGAAGGACAATTACTAAAGAGGTAAGCAAAACGTATATACATGCTCTTGAGGCAGATCAACATTAGGAACAACATGCAAGCTAACCTGAGCGTTAATACTCTTTTACTATCCTTAGCTACATAATCCCCTAGAAAGCCTCATGTACTTCCCAAGGTTAAGAGCAAGGAATATTTATCGCTCAATTTGAAGAATGATATTTTAGAATGTTTGGATACACACAGTAAAATAGATGTCAGGAATTCACAACCTTTCCTCTCTTTTTTTGTGTATGAACGTATGTAAATTGTGTGTGTGTGTGTGTGTATGTGTGTGTGAGAGAGAGAGAGAGAGAGAGAGAGAGAGAGAGAGAGAAAGTATGGAAGAAAGACAAACTACGTGTTCAAATACCAGATTTGCTGTACTTTTGGTTTATCTACCTATTACTTCCATAAAGACAAAGAGACAGAAAGACAAAGAAAGAGGCAAACACATAAATAGCCCCCAACAGGGTCCCCAAGCTGCGATCCACAGCCAACCAAGAATGCGGGCACGTGCACATCCAGAAGGCGCAAGGTGACATAAACCTTGGACCCTCCCATATGGCTTCAGCACTGCAGAGCACCGCATTACCACTGTGCCACCACCGCCGGCCATTTCTGGTAGTACCCCTGAATATGTGCTTTATCTTGCTACAAAAAGTACTGAGTTACCCAACAGACCTTACCCTGGACATGTGATCTGTGGGGCAGAAGATGTTTTCAAAATATCACAGATAAAATGACACTGATACTGGCATCACTATGAAAATATGGACAATACTATTTTAAATTAGCGCATTCAACACCTGAAGGCTAAAACTGAAGAGCCACTCTACCCAGGGTCCTCTGCTAAAACTGAAGAGCCACTCTACCCAGGGTCTACATAAAGAAATACAGAAAAACAAAACATCAACCAAAAAAACATGATCTCAGGTGAGCCGGTGGCATGGAGGTGAAAGTGGCTGGATCCCAGATGGCTGACAACATGGTTCAAGTCCTGGACCCTGTGGCTTGAGGAACATGCTGGGCATGTGTGTATAAGTGCCCAAGATCCCCAGGGGAGAATGGAGAAGGGACTGCAGCAGGGCCATCCCCTCGGGGGTGTGTTTTCTCATATTCCCTCTCTTTTTCTCTGTCTCTCTGTCTCTGGAGAGAGAGAGTGATGGGTCCATCAAGGGTCAGGAAAATAGTTAACAGGAAAAAGAAAAAAAAAATGAAAAAAAAGAAACCCACAACCAAAACTTACAAAGAAAATGATCCCTAAATTAGTAAATTTAAATCACTGTTATCAAATTTCTGTTTCTTACTGTAAATATTCTTCACATATCTGAAATACACACCGCTCTCATTTTAAAACCAAGTTTTCTAATTGCTTATGCTTCCTAATTAAATGAAGTAAGACTTAAGTTGCTGTAAGATTTGAAGCTGCTGCAGGACTGCAGGATTACCTAATTATGAGAAGCAGGTGGAGTCACAATCAGTTTTGCTGGGGCCCATAGTCTTTGCTCAGCTACTGCTTTGAAATCCATCCTACCCCAGTGATAAATGAAACCCAGCCCAGCCCTTGTCCTCACGGAGATCATCTGGGCCTTGGTGAGAGGGTAGGGAGAGGTGGGAAAAGAAAGAGGGTCAGGAAGAGGAGGAGGAAGACAGGGAGGGGGAGGAGCTCTTGGGATACTCTAACTTCTTACTATTAATATACATAAATATGTATAAATGTTTTTTGGTTCTATTTTTTAGATTTTTGCCATAGGGAATGTGTACTCCCCAGAGATAGAGACAGAGAGAGGAGGAAAATCAGGGAAAGTGGCCACGCTACAATCTCTTCTCTTTTTGGGATTTAGGGCATGCACATATGTAGCCAACCTTGTAAGTCACTGGGTCCAGGCCTCGAACCCATGTGGGATCCACTGTACTTTGGATGTCTCAATCGATTTCTTAAAAAATATTCTTCAAAATTCTACTGACCAAAACACACTGCTGCCAATGGTCCACTTTTAAATCGAACATTTCTAAGGCGCATTATAGAGGAAAATACATATTGTGGACTTATTCCTGCTCCAAGAACACTTTCTTCCACATCCCAGCTTAAAAGAATCTCCTTTTTTCAACAATCACATTAATATACTTTTAAAAAATAATCAAAGGTCATGCAACTTTAAGTTGTGGTCTTTTTTATAAGAGCTGTGAATTTCTCACTTATATTTAACCCAAAAAGAGAAGCTTGACAATAACAACTTATTTTCAAGCAAATCCACTTATTTTCAGTGAATCCTCCTGTTGAAACGATAGTTGGGCTGATGAATTAAACCGCCACATAGAAAAAGACATTCCACAGGACACTAAAACACAAGCTCACAGGTGATGGGGACTGGCAAGTGGTGCAGCAGTTAAAGCACTTGACTCTCACATGGGTGGCTCATGGTTTGAGTCCTGGACCCAGAGGCTTGTCTTCTCTCTATCTCTCTCTCAAATTGAAAAATAATAATAAGTATCTTTTAAATAAAAACCTCTCTCAGTTGACAAAATACTTAAAGGGGTGATGGCAGCTACTGAGAATTTATTTCCTAGATGGCATTCTTCTCGCTTATGTCTTTAAGCAGAAGTAGTCTAGAGTTATAGTTCCAGCTGGCTGCGACTTCCCACCCCCTAGTTATAAATCAATGAATCCTGGCTCCATAGCTCAGGACTGTCATACAGAACCCACCAAAGGCGGGGACAACACTAGGGACCCCGGGGGCAATCCCCAAACCTTGCCACCTTATACCTGTCTCCCCTCGCCTGAACTGAGCAGCGTGCTGGAACGCGCCTTTTAATGTGTGATTACCTACGGGACATTAGACGATTCACCGAGTTTGTGCTTCAACTGTTGGCTCGAGACGTCTCAACACGCGCAGAATACAGAGATACCAGGGGGGTAAACGGCCTCCCCCGAAAGGTTTCGCGGGTCCTGGCCACACAGAGGCGACGGCGCGGGAAATGCTTAAGAGCGCTACAAAGCGGAGCCAGCGCGCACCAAACGCTCAGCGACCCCCAAGTGGAACCGAGAGGAAACGGGGCGCTAGAGGGCGCCCGGAAAACGCCGTCGCCCAACCGCCACGCCGGCGGGGAACGCCCTTACCCGCCCCCCCCGCCACCTCC